CTCAGAAAGGTGTCAAAATAGGAGACCCTGAATAGAGTGGGAAAAAATTGTGGAACAAAACTCAAAATGATAAAAAAGATGAGGCTTACTGGTGTGACAGAGACTGGGGAAACCTCTGAGACTGTGGCCCCTTTCAGCCTTTGAGCTTGGAATTGACCTCACTCTCATGGCTTCCAGCTAAACAACACACAGATCTACAAGGTGACCAATAACACCAGGTAGGTACTCTCTTTACAACAACCAACCAAAGGAGACCACAAGAGCAGCATTTTCATAGGGAGACAGCTCAGAGGGCAGGAATGCATAGGAAAGGACACAGGGAAAAGGTAACCACACAGAGGAAGTTGGAAGATAGCTGTTAAACTATGGGGATTACAATCAATATTATGAGACAAAATGTGTATAAACTGTTGAATGGAAAATGAATTTGCTCTATAAACTTTCACCCAAACCACAACAAAAAAAATAAATAATTCTCAGTAGAAACACATTAAATGGTCTATAAAGAATCTTTCAGTAGAAATTATAAACCCAAGAACTTAACACTTTCGTGACCTGTGGGCTACACAGTGCCCACATACATTTTCCACCTCTGGCATTAAGTGGGAGGCTCCTATCCCATTTTTAGTGTATGCTACCATTTGATGGGGCTTATATAAGTAAATCTGAAAAAATGGGCATCATCCCACCAACCCAGCACCAGAGCTCCCTCAGGACTTTGTGGCCCAATGATTCTATAAAAATCTTTTTTGTCTCAAAATGTTTTTTTTTCCCCCTCACTTCATTCAAAACCCCTTTTGATACTCAAAACGCATGCATTCAACAAAAAATTCAAAGCAGAAAATAATTCAGTCTTGAAAGAGTTAAATACAGATTTCATATTTTGAGCTTCTCTAGCAAAAGAGAACATTTTAATTTTAGATTCTAATTCAAGACTGTGGAGAACAATAAAAAATTATATGGATTTAACACCAGCTCTGTGCATAGAAAAGAGGACAAGGACGAAAATTGGGAATTAACGCGTCTTACACACCTGGAAGCAGCAAGGCAAAAGCAGTCCTCATTGGAAAAACATCCCACATATGATCCAGCTGGACTTAGTGTCCTCAGGTTCATACCTTTGGCAAGGACAAGAGAGCACCAAACCCCATCCAGGACACCATAAACAGCAGGGGTGCCACCCTTGAGTGCACACCTCCTTCTTTTTGTTCTGACACAGTGTGAGAAGTAGTACTATACTTTTAGAAGTACATAGAAAAGGCTGCAGAGCTTAGGGATGCAAAAAAATACTATGTGCAGTGATGGAACAAGGATGTTCTGGAAGGTCTGGGGTTTCAACTCCTCCACCACAGCTCCTCCAACTTCAGGCTCTACTCAGAAGATTCTGTCATTCAACACAAAGCACCAACATAGGGATGTTACCATGCCATGGTGCTAGCTCTGTGGGTCAATAAAAGCATCCAAATCTTGAACCACCTATGTGTAGAGGAAGGGCCCAGTGACAGTGCAGCAGGGCCTTAAAATGCCTCCTAGGGTTCACTCTCTTGGTATCCTCTGCCACCTATTTACCTCACTGAAGAACCTGAGGCCCCATAGCACACACCTGCCCCAAAAATTCATAATAAGCCTCACCCCTCATGGAAAGAATAAGCCAGCTTTCAATACTACTTACCATTTTCTGGCTACAGTTTCTGGAAGTCTAAGTGAATTATCGTCTCTAAGCCCAAGAAATGACTTCAGTAAGAGGAATGGAAGTGGAAGCAGAGCCACTAGGCTGTCTGGATGCAGGATGAATATGTTTGATCCACACACCAGTCAGAATAGTTGAAATCCTTACTTATGATTCAGAGATGTACAAGATGGTCACCCTAGGTCGCCAGTTGCCTAGACTGGATGAATTCTTCCTGTACCACCTGAAATGGAAGAATGGGGAGGAGACCATGTTGAATAAGGAAGTAGTAAAAGGTCCTTGGTCTTCAGCTCTTTCTCTGGACAGAGCTTCCCAGACTCAAGGCAATTCTCTATCCTAATTTGGTGCACAGTGCCTAAGGCATTGACTGTTAACCAGAAGCCTGGCGGTTCAATCCCACCAGCCACTCCTTGGAAGGAAGGTTGGGCAATCTACTTCCGTAGGGAGACCTCCTGGACACCCAAGGAGGAGTCACTATGAGTCGGGTCGACAAGGGCATCTGCAGCCTCTATCCTTCCAGAGCACACACCTGCATTGTTCACACAGCTACAAAGGCCTCTTCCTTCTGGCAACAGGATCACAGTTGGGGGAATTTATTCATCCAGTATCAAAGACTGGACAGGCTAGAAAACTTCGACCTGATTTGCTCCAGGGATTCACGGGTCCAAAGTTGAAGCTGAATCTTGTACCATGTAGATCAACACAGACTTTTATTCAATATCAGCATGGGTGACTTTTCAGGAAAAATATATTTTAAGTTTGTCAAGCAATCCACAAGTTTTACAGAAATTTGAGAAGATTCTCCAACATTTTATCTTTCAACATTGTAATAATCAATCAACCAGTAAACCAGAAAATCATTAAGTTTTCTCTATGGAAAAGTCTCCCGCCTCTGTTCCCATGTTTCCAAGCCATGTCCATACCTAGCTGACTCCTACTTTTATTTCTTGTTCTCAGTATAAATGTTCTCTTTCTCATATAGTCTTTATATCAATATCTCATCTTTAAGCATTATCCTTCCTTTTATTATTTTCTTTAACAGTACTCTAATTTTAGTTCACATTTTATTTCTACAAATACTATTTCCAGCTTCTTCAGTATGTAGAATCTGAAGCCCATCCCAGACCTTCTGAATGAAAATCCACATTATAATAAAATCCTCAGGTTATCCACATCAACATTCAAGGTTGAGAAATACTCACTGGTCTATAGTCTCTAACTCAAGGAATGAACAATCTATCAATGGATGTCCTTTGAACCACCCACATTGTATCATCCACTGTCCTCCTGATCTACCACCAATCTCCATGTCTAGGCCTCCCCACAGTTTGCCTTAACTTGTTCATGCCAAATTCTTGCCTACTGTCATTCAATCATGGTTGCCATTTCTAAAATCTATTTGCAGCACAAATAATACATACATCCCTCCTTAATGTCCATCAGTGGCTGTCCACTGGCCTTCAAAATCCCTAGAATAGTCAGCATGGTTCTAAATGAGCTGCTGCCATTGCCTCCTCCAATATGGCTCACACAACCCACACCTCGCAAACCAGTTTGTTTTCCCTGCTTCTATCATCTCTAACTCTCCTCAGGGAATGGGTGATACCAGGTTCTCTGCTCCCTCAGGAATCTACATCTCTCTCTTTTTCACTTTTATTGTAGTGAAAACATACACACCAATATATTCACCACCATAACAACTTTTACATTTACAGCTCAGGGACACCGATAACATTTTTCATGTTGTCCCACCATTATTGCTATCCTTTCCCAAAACATTCTACCACCATTAGCATAACCTCAAGGCCCTAAAAACAAAAGCTTACCTTTTCCCCTCCCTCCTACCCCTTTACATCTCATTTTTCCTCAAATGAAATACTCTCTCACCCCCACTAATCCCACATGCTATCAACCTGCTCAACCATGTATATGTTGCTGTTGTTTTCATGTGCTGTTGAATGGGACCCGACTCATAGCGACCCCTCCTTGGGTTTCTGAGGCAGTTATCACTATGGAAGTAGATTGCCCCATCTTCCTTCCGAGGAGTGGCTAGTGGGTTTGAACCGCCAGCATTCTGGTTAGCAGTCAAGTGCCATAGGCACTACGCTATCAGAGCAGGTAAGTCTATCTAAGTTTTTGAATTTTCCCTTAAATGATTTTCCTTTTTAAACAGTCTAGCTGAACTCTAGGATTAGATCCTTTAGTTAAAGTATTAGATGTCCCAGCTTTTCATTATTTATTTGAAACTGTCTCCTACATGAGTCTGTAAATTTACAGACAGCACTCTGTATTTTGCTTCCTTGTTCTTTCTAGCTTATGACTCTGGTCACTGAGGACACACACAGATTATCATCTGTTGAATATACTCTTGGCAACATTATGCAATGAAATTTTCAAGATAGTTGTATTTCTGCACTTTTCAACATGGTAGCCACTAGCCCCAATTAGCTACTTAGCAGTTAACGTGTGACTAGTGCAACTAAGGAAGTGAATATTTTTCTTTAGTTTTAATTAATTTTAACTGAAAAAGCAACATCTAGGTAGATGTAGTATACTCACCAGGCGCTTAATTGAAGAACACATCAGAGAGAGTGTGAAAGCTGCAAACACCACAATGCAGGAGAGAGAGAAAAATACAGATCAACCATTAACTAAGCTTAACATGACAGAATGCTGCCTTTCCCCTTTACTGAGATCAACTGATAGGAGCTCTGGTGGCCTAGTGCCTAAGGCATTTGACTGCTAACCAGATGGCTGGCGGCTCAAACCCATCAGCAACTCCACTGAGTGGATCCAACTTACTCCAGGGCATGGATTTGGTTTTGGTTTTCGAGATCAACTTATGATAGCAGTTTACTTTGGGACTGGCTGCTAATAATTTGGACCTCCACCCAAACTGCAGCTAGGAGGCCTTCTGAAATTTAAATTAGAAGGTAACTGTTTGATGACTATCCTTTCTAGCATGATAAGAGAAAATTACTTTGCTGTACAGCATTTTCTGGCAGGCTTTTTATCTTAATATTTGGTTTCACGGATTAAAATCAAAGTAACAGTTCTTATTAATTTTTCTATTCACAAGAAACAAAATAGGGTTGGTCATTTTGTTTCTAATACAATCATGATGAAATGTTTGCCTTACATGCAAAGAAATTCCATGAAATGTGCCTGTAAATATTTCCCTCCTGAATTCGGGATAAACGTGGTCCTAAATGGATCTACTAAGTCCAAGTCACGTTTCTAAATTGTTCATCTACCTTAAAGACTTACAACCATTAAATATGGGGGAATAGGTTCCTTATCACAATCTTACCTTTTCTATGCCCTGCCTGGTGAAGCGCAGAAAACAAAGGGCTGCACGCTGAGAGAGTGGGAAAAGGGCATTTACAATCAGGTCAACTACCTGGAATTCGAACAGTTTCTGACTCTGCCATTTCTCACAAACTCCCAGGAGAAACTGACGCTGCCGATCTGAGAACCACACTTTTACAAGATTTTACCTGTTCATGCACTGAGAAACAAAGAGCGAGCCCAACCAGCGAGCCGGCCAAAAAGCAGCTGCGGCTCGTGGGCCGGGATCTCGAAGGCGGCGGTGGCAGGCAGCCCTCGGCACAGGCCAGTTACAAAAACTCCCGCAACTCTGGGAGGCAGAGACGTCTAGAGTGTGCAGCACAGCCCTAAGCAACGTGGGGTGTGCCTGCTGCCGGTCGGGGCCAGACGCCTACAGATGCCTAACCTACCTCACACTGCATTGAGACGCGGCCAAACATGGCTGCCGACCTTCAGACCTGCACTTCCGTTTCCAGTTTTGAGGCCTCTCGGTGCCGCAGGAAAACAGTTCCGTGTGCGGACCCGAAAGGATTAACCTAGTGTCCGTGGAATTTAATGCTTTCCCTTGGTGTTTGGATTATCTCCGCTGCTGGCTTTTTTCCCCTACAGAGGAAAAACACCAAAAACAAAACTCTCTTAGTCTATTCCGACTCATACGGACTGATTAGAGCTGTCCTATAGGGGTTCCAAGTCTGTAAACTTTACAGAAACCAACTGCTTCATTTTTCTTCCTTGGAGGTGCTGGTGGGTTTCATCCGTTTTCGGTTAGCAGCGGAATGCCTTTTTTTAATGCGCATATAAGCTTAAACGCGGATTCCAGTAGTCAAGGATTTATAATACCCCTGGGAAGCAGAAGAACTTACTTCTGCATATTTTCCCGTTTGCAAAATGTTTGCCGTTTTCCTTAGAGAAATAATTTGTTTGCTCCTCATCTGTATTTGCCCATCTTTAGACTTGTTGAAGTCTCTAATTTAGCTTCTGTGTCGTGGTGTGTTGTCTATTACGTATCATGTATCTTTCCCTAGGAACAGGTAACGCACTCTATAAACTCAGTCTGATCTCTCCAAGAGCTAAAGGACCCTGAAAAGAGGCAGGAAGAACCCAGTCGTTTTCAGGACAGTTGTAGAAAGGGAAGTACTGTTGAAAATTTCAATTATAAACCATTTTTACTTTTTTTTTTTTTTTTAAGGCATTTGACTGCTAACCAGAAGGGTGGTGGTTCAAACCCATCAGCCACTCCTTGGAAGGAAGATTGGGCAATATACTTCTGTAGTAATACCACCTGGGAAACCCAAGGAGGGGTCTCTGAGTTGGATCCAATTCCACAGCAGTGAGTTTAGTTTTGGTTTTATACACCCATATAATAAAATACATAATGTGTACTAATCTTAACTATACAACACCATGAATTTTCAGATCTCAATATACACTCATATAACCGTATCTGACATCAAATTACAGAAATTTTCTAGCACACAAGAATCCCTTTTACCTTTTTCCCAGTTGATACACACCCAAGAAGTAACCTGTGTTCTGACTGATACTGTCAAGGAAAAGACTTGCTCATTCTTGAACTTCATATAATTGGAATGATACTGTATAAGAAATTTACTGTCTGACTTCATCTGTCAGATTTTATCTATGTTGTCACATATAGCAGGAATTTGTGGGGGTTTTGTCTCTGAGTTTAATTCTAATGAATAAATATACCAAAACTTTTCTTATTCCTTTATTCATTCATTTTATTCTGTCGTTCTGGTTTGTGTTATAACCCAGAATATGGTCTATCTTGCTGAATATTTAATGAACACTTGAAAATAATGTGTCTTTTGGCGTTCTTAGGTACGATATTCATAAATGTCAGGTCAAGATGGTCGATGGTGGTGTTTTGGTCTTCTGAGTGCTTGCTAACTTCCACATCATTGAGATTTTTTTGACTTCATCTTTCAGCCATATCCATTCTTCAGTCATATATATTGAAGTTCTGTTGTTAGGTGTTGCAGTACAGTAAATTACTTATTATGGCCCTTCTAGCCGAACCCTGTAACTCCCACCAAATGACGGGTGGGACTCTGCAAA